GAGCCTGAAAGATCAGAGAGACAGAACAGGCCACAGCTAACCTCACCTCGCCAATTCCGCAGCTGATTCATCCGGAATGAATCTCAGCTGAACTGCTGCTCAAAAGCCTAAAAGCTTAACCAGACTCTAATTCCTGGTCCTCATGCCTTATATACCTTTCTGCTTCCTGCCATCACTTCCTGGGATTAAAGGCGTATGCCACCATGCCTGGCTATTGCTAGGATTAGGTGTGTGTGCCACCATTTTCTGTGGAACCATGCCCACAACTTTGAAATCTTCAAAAAGATGATGGGACCCCACAAAGATGATTCCACATGGACTATGGAAAAGCCATTAAGCTGATTAACACCACGGAAAGATTGGCTTTGGACTACAAACTGCTCAGGACATTTCGAGATGGCTAGTTGAAATGATCCAGATTCATAGACAACTCAAGCAAGGACTTGAGAAAAACCTTACATTTTCCCATTATGCAGAGACTGGACAACAAATGATACAGCTACCTCTCCCAGGACTTGACAATTAACCCCAAATTTTTCTTTTCAAGATTCCCTAAACATGTCTTTGCCCCCAGAAAGCAGGAAGTGATTTTAAGAAAATGACGTCCATATTCCCAAGAGGTGGGGTGGGTGTTTTTTGGTCATTCAATGGCTTATGGATAATTGTTATTGTTTACGATGGTTGGTTACAAGCTGTTAATTGTTAATGGTCAAAAAAAAAAAAAAAACCAAACAAAGCTAAACAAAGGAGATTAGACACAGGGTTCTTGTTTAAAAAAAAGAAGATATAGAAAAGGGTCAATCATTGAATCTACTCTGAAAAAAGGGAAGATATAGAAATGATAAGATAAAAGGTAGATTTTTGGATCTACTCAAAAAAGAGAATAAGGATATAAGATAAAAAGGAAGATTATTGCATCTACTTTTAAAAAGGAACTACTTGTTTTAAATAGGATAAGTAACGAACTTTTTTATCTGAATTTGTCAAATGTCAGTGGACTGGACATTGTTAATATAATTCTTGACTGTATATATTATATACACTTATTGGATATAGTATTAATTATAAGCTTTTTAAATTTTAGACAAAAAAGGGGAAACGTGGTGATATTGTGTTCCCCAATATATTGTGCACCATAATAAACTTTTCTGGGGTCAGAGAACAGAACAGCCACTAGACAGACAGAGAGGACAGAAAATGGTGGTACACACACCTTTAACCCTAGCATTCTGGAGTCAGAGATTCATCCTGATCTCTGTGAGTTCAAAGCCACACTGGAAACAGCCAGGCATATTGACACACACCTTTAATCCCAGGAAGTGATGACAGGAAGCAGAAAGGTATATAAGGCGTGAAAACCAGGAACCAGAGTCTGTTAAGCTTTTAGGTTTTTGAGAAGCAGTTCAGCTGAGGAATTGGCAGGTGAGGTTAGCTGTGGCCTGTTCTGTCTCTCTGATCTTTCAGCATTCACCCCAATACCTGGCTCTGGGTTTGATTTTATTAATAAGACCTTTTAAGATTTGTGGTACATACAGGATACTAGACTATAGACTTCAAAAATCAATGAAGTATAGTCTTTGAAAAAGTGAAACCTAAGTCTTTCCTAATTTTGAGAAATACTACTTTCACAGTCTAAGATTGTCAAAATAACAATTAGAATTTTCTTGTATTTCCATACACTATATTTAGCTACACAATACAGTGCTAGTTAGAAACATAAAATAGCAATGTAATGATAATTAATCAAGAGATTGCCTGTTCAAAAATCATCACTAAATACTAAATTTGTCTGTTAAACTACAAATGAAGTAGAATAATCATGTGACTTAGCAATTCATTTCTCAGTACTCACTCAAAAGAAACTACAAAATAAACCCAAACCAAACTCTCAAGTCCCAAATTAGTTATTGATAGCTCAAATGTGGTAACTGAAATGCCCATCAACTGACGGATTAACGGTTTGGTACTACTATCAAATGGTCAAAGCCACCCAGGTTGGGCAAGTCAGTGGCTTAAGGGGTGACCCCGATGGTTTTGCTAATGCTTCCCTCAACCTTGATCAGAGCCATTTTTTTGTAATGCAGAGACTTACAGGCTGCCCATGCCCCAGTATATCCATACAGCTATATCAGCATGTAGGCAGCACTAACTGGACCCAGTGGCTTATATAAAAAAGATGTGTACACAAAATCACTCAGCAATAAAAAGTAATAAAGTACGGACTGCTACAACATAACATTCTAATAAATGAAAAACAAAACATAAAAGACCAAATACTATATGGTACCATTCATACTAATGACCAAAATTGTCCAATCTATAGAGGGAATGATGACTTGAGCTGGTAATGAGATTCCTTTCTGGGAAGATGAAAATGTTCCATTAGACCTGGGTGATGACTACACACCTTGGTAAATACAGACTGAGATGGGGACATTTGCAGAGAGGTCCTTATTTAGGTGGCAAATATGGAACTATTTATTATTTTGTATTCTGGGTTCTAGAAGAAGCCTTCTAACCACCCCTCTACCCTAGTAACCTAGGATTTAGACCTACAAATTAGTTCTTCCAGAGCAGATTTAACCAGCTCTGCTCCTACTTCCTAAACAGCCAAATCTAAAACAAAGTCTATTACTTTAGGATGCACTGAACTTTTCCTTTCTTAAATCTTCAAATCTGCAGATTTTAACAAAGACAAAAACTCTTTATATCATAATACAGGGGAAATTTCAGACAACAGGGTCAAACGTATCCAGGGAAATAGGTGGATATAAAGAATCACAACTGCAATCTAATGAAAGTTAGACTGGGAGTTTGGAAACTGCATGAATTTCAGAGTTTTCTCCCTTTCCCCACTAAAGTCAAGACTTTCTATCAAAGTTATCTTCTATAGCATTCCTTAAATTATCACTGGACAGAGAATTTAACCATCTGACTGTACTTTAGTGATGTTATCTCTAACACAGCATCAGTCAACACTGAGAACTGCCACTTTTAGGGTGGTGGGGGTAGGGAAGAACCAGGTCTTACTATGTAGCCCAGGCTGGCTTGCAACTCAGATCTGCCTGCCTCTGCCCCAAGTGCTAGGTAGGATTAAAAGCGTGTGACACCACATCTGGTTAGAATCACCATTTCTTAATTTGATTTCCACAAAGACCAAGCCAGGACAAAGTTATTTCTCAAATATTCTCAATTCTAAAATGGAATACCAGCAGTCATTTGAAAGAGGACAAAAACAGCTTGTGTGAAGGGGTGTAACTCATGTAAAGAAGCACTTAGAACAGTGTTTGATCAACAGCAAGAATTCAACAGTTGCCTAAGTTATGGAAAAGTTTGATTTTGGTAGTAATCATTACCAACAACTGATAGGTTTCCAAAAATAGTCAATAGTAATTAAATATTAATATATACTTAATGTATCTAAGCAAAGTGGTTAACAACATTCACAGGTAGATAAACCAGAACAATGACTGTTAAAAGCAATCTGGGTTCTACTTGTAAATCTTGAGTAGTTTAATCAATTCTAAAAGTTATAGGACATAAATGACCAAATTTAATTTCTTCTTTTGAGGGGTGGTTTCAAAACAGGGTTTCTCTATGTAGCCCTGGTGGTCCTGGAACTCAGTCTGTGGGCTACACTGGCCTTGAACACAGGGATCAGCCTGCCTCTGCCTCCCAAATGCTGGGATTGAAGGCTTGGGCTAGAATTTCGAATATCAGTTAATAAAAATAATTTACTGGAACCAAGTACTCTGGAACACCCTGCAAACCCAGCACACTGAAAGATGAAGGCAATAGAGTCAGATGATCAAGATCACCCTCTGCTACATAAGGAACTCCAGACCAGTCACAAGAGTCCCTGTCCAAAAGTGGGGACACGCGCGGGGGTGGGGGTGTTTGCCTGGGAACTATTCCCTGGAAAGGCACTCACTCTAGATATGCATGCTTGAGTGTGGCTGGCTGCAGAGCTCTTCACTTTGCATTTCACGTACTAAAATTCAAACCCTCAAATCCTCCCAAGCAGCAATCTCTACCTATCAGTAGCTTAAATCTTAGGCACCCATTTCTCCGTTTTTTTTTCCCCCTTAATCTAGAAACTTACCCACCAAAATTGCTTCCCAGTTTCCTTCTTAAATCTCTATGCTCACCTCTTCACTGCCCCTCTCCAGTCTACACATCACAATCAGCAGCCCAGAAGCAAAGCTGCACCAACTAGATGTGTGATAAGTCACAAGGCACACAAACCCTACCCACATGTGTAACACTGCACAACTACACTAGTCTTCGTGGCTTCCTTAGCCTGAGAACGGCTGGCACAGACGGAAAAACAGCCACACCACGTACGTTACATAACCACGATCAACTAAAATGCTACTCCCATTTCACAGACAGGGCCCGGGGGGCTCGGGACCTGACAAGGTCACACTTCCTAGGAGTGGCGGCTGCTTTGCCCGGACACACAGCTCTTTCCAGTAGTCAGTCAGGCTCGCGCCCCTCGGGCGGTGCTGAGACACTCCCCTCCTTCGCCCACCGCCAGCGATCCACAGGTGCCCGGGTCTCGTCGGGAGGCCCAGGCCGTAGCCTTGTTCCCGGACCCGCCAACCCCGCGCCCATTGTTCCCACCCGACTCACCTCCGAGGACGCGGTCGCAGGCCCCGCTGGGCCGCTGGAGGCCAGCTCCCGTCGGCCCAGCAAGCTCGGCCGGTGGCGGCAGGATCCGCGAAGGCGTACCCGGCGGCTTCGGCGCCTCCCCCCTTCCTCCGCAGGCGCCACAGGGGGCGCTTCACCCTCCTCGCGAGACAGCGGAGACCCCGCCGGCGGCGGCTGCGACCCCTGTGACGTAGAACGCTCATCACCAAAGGCAGTTTGGGGGCGGAGAGAGGGCGAGACACCCCTCCCCCGTGCAGCAAGGCGGCCCCCTCCCCCGCCCCCCCCCCGCGCGCTCTGGGCGCATGCGCCGCGGACAGGAGCCCGCAGGGGGCGGGGCCTGGCGCCCAGATGCCAGACCCTGCCCTGCCCCCACGGCGGGGGGCGCCTGTCTTCGGGGGGCACAAACTCGATAATCATTGCCAAATATGCGGGGGGGGAAAAAAAAAACCCCGAAACCTCGCGAACTTGGACAAGTTGCTAGAATTCTCTCTAGGACAAGAACCGGACCGAGCTCCCACAGTGCCCTCGTCCTCCTGTCTTTTTCAGCTGGGATGAACACCAGGCGTCGAGCACTTCCCCAGCCACACCGTCTCTCCCCCCGCGGCCTGCTTTCCACTCCCCACTCTTAGGAATCTAGACCCAAACTGTATCAGACACGTCTGCGCCCGAGGCCGCGCAGTGCAGGCTCGGCCAGCCAGGCCTCCACTGAGAACACCGCCAGCATCCCTGCTCGCCTGCCAAACTGCCTTTCTCGGGGCTTGGTATTTCACACTTGCTGAGGCCCTCGGCTCGATAAACGAACGTCCAGTCAACACTTGTTGAGTGGCAGGTCCACCATGCTGGTAACAGATTTAAAAATATTTCCAGCCATAAGCGACAGTATTCTTACTAGTCGTTCTTGATGGATGGCCGGATTAACAGTTTCCAACGATTCCTTAGCCACACAAAGGAGTGGATGACATTGTTCATGCCCAACAAACCTATGAACGTCTATCCGCATTTTGTGGAAACGGATGCGGGTGTAGGGCGGCAACTTTAATCCTTCCAGCGTGACTATTTTCAAATAAACTTACATGCACTCGATGGCATACTATTTTGCGTTAATATCGCACTGCGACTGGAGGGGAAAAAAAGTTGAGAAATGCCTAGGTAAGCTCAAAAAGAAAGCGCGATTTTAAAATTTTCTCTTGTATTTCCACCGCTGCCTGAAAGGCGGGCTAGGCCCGGATCACGTGACGCGCTCCAAGTCCGGGCGGAAGCGCGCCTGGAACCGCTCGCCGAAAGATGGCTGCTGCAGCCGCGGGGTGGACGGCGCCCGGGAGCGGGCTCTAGGGCCCGCGCCACCCCGTCCCGGTGCTCCTTACCATGAGGCCAGTGAATCGCCGCACCCTGGACTGGATTTACTCCGTGGTAGGTAGCGGGGGCGATGGAACTCCAAAGCGCCGCATCCCAAGGCCCGCAAGCCGAGAGCCGACTGTTTGCTTGCGGCTCGGAACTCCTAAACCCATTCCTAAAGTGAGCGTTTACGCCCTGCCCTCAGCTCCGCCCCTTCCTGGAGGACACGCTCTTCCGCCGTGACGTCAGGGCTGCCGGGCCCGCGGGCCTCCAGGCTGTGCTTCGGTGTCCCACCTGTAGCTGGCAGCCTGGCCTGAGCAGGGAGGGTAGCCAGCACACTGATTTTTCTTTTTGCCTTTCCTCCCCCTCTTTCAGTTGCTTCTTGTGATCGTCTTGCTCTCCTGGGGATTCGTCATCTATGCATCGCCAGCACACTGATTTTTCTTTTTGCCTTCCCTCCCCTCTTTCAGTTGCTACTTGTGATCGTCTTGCTCTCCTGGGGATTCGTCATCTATGCATCGACTGTAGCCGCACGACGGCAGCTACAGAAGGAGTTTCCCGACAAATTCTTTGAAATGAGTGAACTTTGGTAATTCTCAGCAAACACAGTTCTTTTCCTTAAAGAGCACCTATGTAGACTTAAAAGTAAAATTCACAACACCAAATTGTGTATGGTCTTTTGTGATAAGCGTTAACATGCTAATTTTTCATCAGGTCATGGATTTTCATTCTAGTCCTTCAAACACTTCACATCCTCTTGTCAAACCAGTATGTAAAAAAAAAATCTATCATGTGACTAAAACGTGTTTTGCATCCTGTTTATCAAAACAGACAGGAAAAAGGTAGCTGATGGAACTGTTAGTATTTGTCTTTTTACTGTTAGTCTCAAATCGGACGATTTTTGGAAAGAAATATAACAACACTCCAAGAAAAAGCTTTATTGGTTACTTTTCCAGGGAACAGATTCAGTAAATACAGCACTATAGGAAGAGGCTTTAGCTGTTACACAAGTCTTTCAGTTTTTAAGTGCTCTTTAATGATGTTGATCAGGAAAATCTTTCATTGGTGGAATTACTTCTCCAGTCTCCAGAATTGTATCACCCTAGTAAAGACAAGTAAATGTTTAATTAAAATTTATTTTCATTAAGTGTACATTTTATTGTAAAATATTTCAACATTTGTTTAGCACAATAATTGACTATAAACATATAAACATTTTGTTAACTCAAAATTAAGCCAGGCATGGTGGTGCACACCTTTATTCCCAGCACTCTAGAGGCAGAGTTTGAAGCCAGCCTGGTCTATATAGCAAGTCCCAGAACGGACAAGACTACATAGAAATACTAGCTCAAAAAAAAAAAAAACCAAAAAACTTCAAAATTATTTTCCATTTCCATTTTACTTAAAACATTTCAATTTGGATGCTATATTTTCATCTGCACTTATATATATATATACATACACACATATATAAAAATCTTTATATAAAGATTAATCAAATTATTACAGGAGGAAAGATTAATCAAATTATTGCAGGAGGACTTAAAAATTAAAGAGTTATAGACATATAAAGTACATATTTAGACTGTCTAATTTTGAAGTATGGATACACCTGTGAGACCATCACCACAATCAACTCGATCAAGATTTAGTATTTTATTCCTTCCATCTACTCTCTCAATCTCCACCTCCAGTTTTCAGGAAAGTAATAAGTCTGGATAGGTGGTCACTCTGCTCTAGTCCATGTTCAGACGCTACATGGAAAAGCTATTACGCTCTGGCATTCATTTTAATAAGGACGGAGACAGGACAGACTGGGAGGACAGCCTGACCCATACTAGTCTATCACATCAGGAAGGAGAAAACATGTTTTGTTAAGCCAGAGACTTGCAACACTGTCACAGCTTGTTCTATACTAAATTAGATGGCCATTCTGCAGCTTGTCAAAAGGGAAGATTCTGGAAGTGACCAACAACATAGAAACAGGAAAGGACCACTGTAGCAAAAAAAAAAAAAAAAAAAAAAAAAAAAAAAGAAAATACAGAAATAAAAGAAGTGCTACAAAACCAGTGATACGGTCTTCTGTACAGAGCCTGGTCTTATCCTTTGCACATAAATGGCAAAATAAACACATAATTAGATAAGTGACCAGGTAAGCAAAGAATAAATAAATATTAATTAGCCACCAACCAGCAAGTTAATATCCTATTTTGAGACTATGTGGGGTCTGACACACATCAATTACAAGTAAGTAAATAACAGAAGTTTCCTGTTATTTCCTAAAGCAGAATTCCAATATGGACAGTTAACCAATTTTGATGGTTTGCCCCAAAAGTCCCCTGTTATAGCTTATAACAGACTACTGTAACATGTGGTGATATTTTATTTGTGCTGAAATGTAATATTTTATTTGTGTGTTAATAAAGTTTGCCTGGAGATCAGAGGAAATAGCAAGCTATTAACACAAAAGTCAGGCAGTGATAGCACATGCCCTTAATCCAATCACTTGGCAGGCAGGATCTCTGTGTTCAAGGTCACACTAGGGAGCACAGCCAAGCATGGTGACACTCGCCTTTAATCCCAGTACCAACCATAGAGACCTGGAGGTCTGTACAGACAGGCAGTGACAAGGAAGTGAGGTAGCGGGGCTAAGAGCTAATGAGAGGGCAGAAAAGCAAGGCAATAAAGGCGCAGGTTAAGACAGGAAGTAGCTCACATTTTGGAAGCTACAGAGCTGGTGAGGTAAGGTGGTTGGTGGCTCTCACTATTTCCCTGATCTCTCAGGCTTTCACACCTATATTTGGCTCCATGTTCTTTAAGACTACTTAGAAATTCATCTACAGTAACATATGCTACCTAATGGAAGTTTTTGAATTTACAGTTATAGTGGTTCACTCATTATTTGTAAGCAGAGATAGACAACATGTTTTAGTATACTAAACAAGAGCCTCATAAACAACCAATAAAAATACCAATTGATTATATATAATATATATTGTTTATATGAAGACTTAAAAATTAAAGCAACATAGACATAATAAAGTGTATATTAAATTGTATACTATAATTTTGAAGTATGGATATACCTGTAAGACCATCACCACAATCAAGATAATAAAATATTTATCATTACAAGATTTAGTATTTTATTCCAAAGTACTAAATTTTTGTTTTTGAGATAGGAACTCACTATGGAGCCCTGGCTGTCCTGAAAGGTACTATGTAGACCAAGCTGGCTTCAAACTCAGAGATCCTCCTGCCACAGGGGAGGAGTGCTGGGATTAAAGGTAGACACCAACACACTCAGCTTAATTTAAATTTGAATTGACAAAAAGTATCTCTTCAGGCTTATGCTATAGCCCTTTACCCATGAAAAACTGAGGGTTCCTTCTGCTCTAGGTCAAAAAACAAGGCTGAGAAATATGGTGTCCACTCTGCATTTTCAAATTCAGTTGCTACTTCATACTATCCTCCTTTTCCCCTACAATAATACACAAATACACTTCAGCTGACAGTAAGAAAGGATCATTTTATGCTAATGAACTTGGCAATCACTTGTAGAATGGGAGGGGGAGTAATGTACAAGCGGAAAAACTGGAGTTTTGAGACTTACTGGGAATATTCTGGGCTTCGAGTCAACGATGGCATATGGTGTTTTCTGCAATAAAAGTAACTCTGTGTAAATTACAGTGTTAGACTTTCTTCTGAAAATATGTTAGATCTTATCCCAAATTTTCCTAGAACTCTGGGCCCATCCATATAACTGTTAATTCAACATCTCTACTTATGTCAATAAGCATCTTGAAGTTAACCACACCCACAATTTAATTTCCCCTAGCCCCACAACTGCTGCTCCTCACGTTCCCTATCTTAGCTAATGGAACCTGTATTCCCTCAGTGCTAAAATTTGCCAGAAGCCCTAACTCCTCAGTAGGTCCTGCCGGAACTACCTCGATAATATACCTTGCATCCAACTGATCTCCCCAGGTAACAGTACCTTCCTTGCCCACGCCGCTTGATGTTTTTTGACAGAACTGCGCCAACAGCACCTACTAGCTACCCTGCTTCTACTCATGCCCCCAACAACACAGGTAGCATGAGCCTTTCAACGGGGATCACATTTTAGCTCAAAATCTCATAATCTGTAAAGAAAAAGATGGCGTCCTTGCTGTGATCTCTAAAACCCTCCATGACCTCACCCCTGGCTAACTACTTGACTTTCTACCACTCTCTCCCCACACTGTACTGTCGGGGTGCACCATGTAGCATGGGTCGTTTGAAGAAGGAAGGCACTCCAAGATGAAAGTACTCCAATTTTAAGGCCTATGTGGCAGCAGGAAGGTCCAGTCTCTTCTGATGGACTGAACCACGAAGAGCCATACAAAAGCGTATTTATTGATTGTTACTCAAAGTGTTTCCTCATACAAGGTCCCTAATCTTAATTTGCATGTCTTACTGAAGGACAGCATCACATGCCCCCATGACTCCAGTCCTTTATTATGTATTGTTTGCAATATGCAATAACAAGATTAGTATTATTATCCGAGATGCACACCTGAGGCGTCAAGTGACCAAGTCACGGCATACCTGCAATGCCCCTTCAGCAAAACAATTTTACAGGTCAAGGGAAACAATCACTGTTTTGCACAAGGATTCTTCAAGGTCAAAGTGCTTCTAAAAAACGGTTGTTCATTCTAGTATCTACCCCAGATATAGTGACTCTGCTACATTCCTACAACACCGTACCCTAGTCACAATGGCTCCCTGATCTCCAACTATTAGTCAAATCAATAAAGCCTGCTGTGTCCCAGGCCTTTGTGCTCACTCAGCCTTCACCGGAAGTGCACTCCTCGGGGTATCTGCTTGTCCCTCACCTCATTCCAGTTAGGTACCTTCAGTATCACTTCTGCAGAAAGGCTCAATTAAAACAGCAGCTCTGTCATTCTCTATTCCTTTACCCTGCTAATTTCTCTTCCCGAGAATTGATCACCTCCTATAATCATATATGCCTCTTATTCATGTGCTGATTGCCAGTTTCCAAGACTAGAATAAGCATGTCATGAGGCAAGGCACAATCTGCTGTGTATACTGCTATACCCCTATTTACAGTGCTTTGCATAAGAGGTGCTTAATATATATAAATGTGGAACAAATAAACTCATAAAGCATGTATGTCTGTCTGCACAAGATACCATACCAAAATGTTTAAAAGATCATTGGCATGATATAAGACAAGGGGACCAGGACTGTGAGAGAAGCTTAGACTACGATACAAGGGAAATACAATGTCTTTATTATATGAACTGTGGCCAGGGCCAGGGAGGTGACTCTGGGTAAAGGACCAGGCCTGGCAACCTCAGTTGCATCTCTAGAACCCACATCAAGATAAAAGGAGAAAACCAACTCACAAAATTGTCCTTTGACCTCCCAAGCATATTATGGGACAGCTGTACTCCCACCCACACAATAACAATACATATTTAAAATTTTTATTCTAAAAAGAACTGTGGCCAAAGTCAAGAAGATACTAAATGTCTTCAGAGATGTAAAATTCAGTTACTGAAACAAATGTTACTATAACGAAGCTGCAGAATTTCCATAAACAAACCAAGATAAAGAGTAAAAGGTAAGTGGCCCCAGACCCCACCAAACAAGAAATGTTGAAATATGTC